TCTTCTCATCATCTGTCCTCCTGTGATCCACACGACTGTTGCAGCAGGACTGCCGTAGCTCTTTGCTAAGAGGAAGCTTACTAAGGTCACAGACCTTCCGTTCCATACCAGATTCAGTACTATTGGAGGTAGCGGATTGCAATCCGCTACCTCCAATAGTACATAAACCTTAAACAAAGCTAATAAGCACTTCTGTTCAGAACTGAAATTGTATTTAATTGTTTTTTTGCGGCACATCCGCCTATATCTAAAACCTTAGGTTTCCCTATTCAAATGGTAAAAACCTGTTAATATGCATAACTTCTAAAAGTCCTGCCATGTAGTGGCTCCTTTTTACGGTGTAGTCGCACCATAGCGTGATTACACCGACTTGTGCTTTCCATGCCTTTGTACGGTCATACCATCTCGTGTGACCCACCCTTCATACTTGAGTACATGTAACCCCGTCACAACCATGGACGAAGATGTCGTCAAAGTATTTCGGTGCATACGTCCGATGGGGTCTGAACAACTGCAACACAAGTCGATTGAGTGCTGCTGGTGCATTTGATAGCCCTTGAGGTTTGACCAGCCACACCCAGAGCATGCCGCTCGGAGTAATTAACGCTGTCAGCGGAATATTACTCGCTTTATTGAGCAATTGGTGATACCTATCGACCAAGTTGAGTGCGCTGTACTTTGTACAACCGACCATGTTGTTCTGGAGAACATCCTCGATAGGAATCGGCGTCAGCGCCGCAATGTTGGCAGCGTTTAGCTTACTGTAAGCGTGAACGGTACGCCACTTGCCGTTCGGCTTCCAGACCCAGAATGTAGGTGTCGAATGTGGAGACTTGCTCTCACGCACCATTCCTGCCTCGTTCTTCGCACGGAAAGAGGCGTCAATGACGTCACACTGATCTTTGAACAGGAGTCATTGGTGTGTTACGCAGTATTTGGTTCCCGGAACCGGCTTTGTCTCATGACGCACGCCTCGGTCCGGAGGTAGGACCGACGGCGGGTCTTTGGAGTCAACGTCTTGAAACTTCCTTATCAAAGAATTGTCGGATCTGGAGGATTCTTCAGGATTGAAGATCCTTTTCGCGAGCTCAGCACTCTCTTGGTGCAGCTTCATCCAGAAGCTATGATGAGTTGATCTCCTCTTTCGGTCGTTTAATGATCACTTCGTCTATGTCGCCTGCTTTCAAAGACCGCCGAACTCTACGAAGGACAGCTAGTCTAGATCAAGAAGAGCATCCATCGCAGTAATAGCCTCGAGGGTGATGTCGCTGCCTTCCTTCCCCGTCATACCGTTGACGAGGATGTATAGCTGTGCACTATCGTCTACAGTAGACAAATCCCGTATCAGGGTCGACGCCCAGCCTCTGACAGCGTCGCTGTTGCTTCTTGACGTCTCAACGATACCAGTGGGAGCACGCATCTCGATACAGCCCCACTTCCTGATCCACCGGAGCCCTGATGTTATTGACAACATCTGACATTGAGCCACTAGCTCCACCGTCTTTGTCCAGTGGATAATATGCCACTCCACGCGCATCTGATGGGCCTTTCCCGATATGCCTTGAACCTCGTCCATGCCACTCGTTATGGCATGCTGCGACTGCTTCGAACTTGAGCAGCGCTCAGTGGCTTACGTGCCACTTCACGTCCAGCCCGCGAGCCATGATCAGGATTCCTGTTTGATATATCTTCAGTGTTCACCAACTTGGATATTCCAACCTCCAGCACATTGACCGTCTTGGTCCAGTGCCCGCGCCAATAGCATTTTTGCCTCATAGGAGAGGTGGGTTCATATCTCACCAACGCTCCACAAGAAAATGTGCGCGTAGCGCCCATGGTCTTCGACCTCCAGTCGATGAATGGCTCATGGTGTTCAAGAAATGTCATACCAAAAATTAGGTCATGCTTCGACTCTAGTTAAAGACTAAGCAATTTTCCACGCTATCAAATGCAAGAAACTTGACTTGATACTGAGGTCTACAGTGATTCTCATCGCTAAGCAAACAGCCGCGCCTTTGGCGCCTCAGCATACAGCTTACTTTCTTCGATTGTGGAGTGTAGAACATTATTGCCCGACGCCCCGGAGTCGATCATGATCTTCCATGGCTTCATAAAGCCCTTCGCGGTCGCTTCACCATCTAGCAAGCCCGGCTTGCATCCACATTCCGTGTTCAAGAGCACGGAGCCCTTCAGGGTTGGACCCTGCTGCCCTCTACTTTTTCCCCAGTAGACAACCCCGCGCCTACTGGGTGTTGCTGTTTTCCCGGAACAAACCAAAGACTCGTAAGAAGCGGGACGTCGGTCTGATGAACATTGACATGCCTTGCGCAAGGGACAACTTATCCAAAGGAAAAGGGTGTTTTCACAGACAAAACACCGTCGGGTATACGAATGCTGCTTGGGCCCTGCCTCTTCGTTCTCAGCATAGCTGAAATCCATCGGCTCAGGCCTGCTCGACGAGCTGCTAGAGTGTGCATTCCAGCCAAGTCATGGCGACTTGAAGTTGAATTGGCATTCAATGCCACATTTACTGATTCCTCAAAAGAAGACGTGTGCACACGGAAGACTTCATTCTGGGCACGCCAGCGCGGAGGCTCTCCTAATGACGGTCAATGGGACTTTCTCTGGAAGAGGATCGGCTGTTATACCGGCAATGAGAGAACGCAAATCTTGAACAAGGCCCACCAATTTCTTCTTGCCCTATCGGGCGGCAAGAAAACGCGTTATGTGGTGAGAACACTTGCAAAAGCTGCAGCTTCAGTTCCGTCCATGAGGGAAATACCGCTTCGACCGATTTGGCCGCACGTCAGTGCCTAGTCTCGCGCTCGACGACCGAGCTTGGAGATAGCGCTACCGCTGTTGCTCGATCTGGAGCATGGCGGACGCCATGGCCATCTCGACCTCTCTCACCCAGAGCAGGGAAAAATCTCCTATTTGTCCCCGAAGGTCTTGACACTCACCATGAGCGGGGAAGCGGTCATCCGTCGTCGTTGGTGGTGCTATGGACGCAATTGATACCGACATCTTTTGCTCTAGATGCTCTAGCAGAGCAACGTCATAGCGTGAATATGTCTTAGGCGCGCGCCGATCGCTTCTGGTATTTGCAAAGCGAGGTGTTGCCCGCCCTCAACGCCAAGCAGAGACATCAGCTTTTTAAGCCTGGGGCAAAAAGTAGACTGCTCCATCTTCACAGAGGGTTAGTCGTTACGACTCAGATGTTGATCGACTACAAGTGCTACCAAGTGCAGCGGGACTGCCGTAGCTCTTTCGCTTAGCGGAAGCTTACTGAGGTCACCGACCTTCGTTCTATACTTCGATCCAGTTCGAGTGTAGCGGATCGCCATCCTTTTACGCCAAGAGTAACTACAACCTCAACCCAAGGCTACTTAATTCTACCGTTGAAACGTAAACTTTATTTCTCGGTTTTATTTGCGCAAAGCAGCCTATATCTAAATCTATAGTCTTCCTAATTAAATAGTAAAACCTAATTAAATATATAGCCCAGCCACGTACTGACTTCATTTTTACGTTCATCCACACCATTGTGTGATCACATCATTTTGTGTAACCCACACCCCTCATGTCTTTCACTGAATAGGAATGCTGATGCGATGAGTGTTGGCACTAGTCGTCATCATCTAAAGAAAAGACAGCAACATCTAGGTGGAAAAAAACTTGCATAGGTGTGGAAGCGACTGCAAGTGCTGCAACGTGCAACGTGCAACGGGTAGCTACAGAGCAAACATTGTGGTCTAAAATCGCTCATTGAACGACCGTATTTGACCTTCAATCGGCATCGTTTCAAAAACTAGATATAAGTGTGATGGAAAAACGCGATACAATAATTTTTTTGGAATTATGTTAGATTTGCCTCCTGGGGCAAGCGGAAATGAGTCCACGAGTATTATGAACGTCACTCAGGTATTCGGATCTTACAAAGTGATCATCCTCTGTGCACAGCACATTAGAGCCTGCGTATACAACGATACAATAGACACTTAGATGAACAGTAACGCTTTACTCATTCAATCTCTGTCTACTGTTTCTTTCATACAAGATTTTGTGGAATTTTTGCGCTTCTTCAGCCATCTTGTGATATTTAGAGCATCAATGCGACAGCAGCTTTATCAAAATCACTAACATCTATTTCGCGAAGCAAACGCAGAAATCATGTCTTAATTGTGAAAAGTGCTGCTCATTTGTGCAACCAAGATGAGTTTCTTAGAAAATTAGCGGGCCCGACTTTGTCTGAGGTTCGAAATTTTCATGGGAAAGGCTTTCATCCAATATTGACAGAATCATAAGATCTTATATGCTTCGTACAAAACACACCCAAATCACATCATTAATCTCGGTACCAACAATTACGCAATTTAAAATGCCCGTAATCATATATGGATCGAGGTTGATCAAACTTGATTGCAGTCATTCGGTGACGAGCGTATCGACAGTCAACCACGCGCTGTTGGTGATCGAAGCGTGCTCGTAATGTTATTCATGGTGCATAGCAAAGACCAGAAGATTGCGAGATCTAGTGGACTTTCGATTACAGATCGCTCCCAAAAACTATACTCTCATCTTTTCGCATCACACATAGTTCATAAGACTTTGCCGTTTACTTGAAACTTTAGATAGCGACGTCAGCTACATGCGCAAAACAGGTCATACGTATAAAAACGCGAGGTGTCTAGCGCCCGCAGAACCCAATTTTACCGTACCGATTCGCGTTCATCGAAATGGGTTTAGTAAAGCTTTCAAAAATGGATTATGCTTGTTGAAAACACAATAGACGCAGGGAAAACAAGCAGGAGCAAGTAGTAGACTCATAATTTATTAAACTATTCAATAACAGAGTCTTTAGAGTCAAATAGGAAGCACAAGATATTTTTATAAAAGTTTACATTGTTCTAGCATGTCCAGAAGTGTTTACCAACAGGATATAGAATACAAATATTACATCAATTTTGTACATGATCAAACGAATAAAAACGCACTAGTGTCTATCTTGGTCTCTGTTTCAGCCATCGAAGGGTATAAAACTTGTCGAAAGCGTACAATTGAAGTGGATCTCTTCCAAACTCGTGACTATGATGCTTAAATAGCCACTGCAGAATCTCCAGCTCATCTGCTGTCGTGGCATTTACAAATGCTTTTGATGTACATCCCTCCGAGCGCATACTGTGTAGAAATAATAATATTTCAAAGTGTCCACCCGCAGCAGCTCCGTCCATCGCAGCACTCGTGCAACCCTCAAGTCGATTCACGTGAAGCCATTGGACAACCTTCAGATGACCACTTGCTGCAGCTTGATCCATCGCATTCTTCGTGCAGCCTTCAATTCGATTCTCGTGTAGCCACTGCACAACATGAAGATGTCCTGCACGTGCTGCTTTGTCCATCGCGTCAAGAGTACAACCTTCTGAACGATTATAATGTAGCCACTGTACGACGTGCAAATGACCATGGGCAGCAGCTTCATCCATCGCATCAGAGGTACATCCTTCTTCCCGATTGTGATGAAGCCACTGTATCACCTCCAAGTGGCCGTTGCGAGCTGAAAAATTCATAGCCGCGAGTGTACAGCCCTCTTCACGATTCTTGTGTAGCCATTCTACGGTCGTCAGATGGTTTCCGCGTGCTGCCCCATCCATTGCTGCTGTAGTACATCCCTCTTCTCGGTGTTGATGTAACCACTGTACTACGGAGAGATAGCCGTTTGCGGCTGCACCGTCCATAGCTCGTGAAGTACATCCCTCTTTCCGACTTTGATGAAGCAACTGTACGACTGAAAGGTGGCCATTCGCTGCAGCTCCATCAATTGCAGCCTTCGTACATCCTTCTCGTCGAACACCATTCAACCATTGTACGATTTCAAGATGCCCATTGGCAGCAGCGAGATCCATTGCAGCCGTCGTGCATCCCTCTTTTCGAGTTTGATGTAGCCATTTAACAATAGCAAAGTGTCCATTGCCCGCTGCCATATTCATTGCAGCTGTGGTTGCATATCCCCCATTAGCTTGTAACCATCTAAGCACATGCAGGTGGCCATTTGCCGCAGCATCATCCATTGAAGCTGATGCTGTATGGTTAGGTACATTGTCTCGAAACCATTGGAGCACCTCCAAGTGTCCTTCGCTAGCTGCCAGTACGGAAGCATAAGAAGATTCCTCGCCACGTACTTGACAAAGCCATTTTACCATGGCAAGATCGCCATTCTTTGCTGCCTCTTCAAGTGTCACGAAAAACATATGCGTTGGAGTAGGATTTGTATGCTCCTGCAGCCATTCGACGACTTGCAAATGTCCATTCTGGCCAGCGTAAAAGAGCTCTCTCGAACCCCAAAAAACGTCAAGTTGTTTTGATTCCTCACTACTCCTTTCTTCAAAGTTAGGTCGATAGAGCCACTTTAGTACGTTTAAATGTCCGTTCTTGGATGCTTCTTCAACTGCGAGTGTCACGTAGCATCCTGGAAACTGCTGGACAAGCCACTTTACTACTTGCAAGTCACCTCGAGCTGCTGCATTTGCCATTGCAAGTGTAAACTTTCGCTGACAATAAAAAGGGTCGTCTCGTTTAAGGAGAATGAAAGTCGCGTTCATGATGTGAGACGCAGATATTTTGTCTTGAGGCTGATCATTCGTACTGACATTATTAGATACAATTTGCTCGGCTTTCTCGGCCTCAATAACCTCGTGAAGCATGACCCTCTGTGCTAAACGAAGTGCTCCTTTAAGGTCATTGAAACCACAAGCAGTAGAGAGAGACCAATAAACAGAATAATCGACAAACTCGCTGATGGTATCCAAGACGCGATTAAGTGCGGCAAGTCGACTGTTAGTATTGCACACAACGATGACGGATGTTATTGGAGTCAAAGTACACACCATAGAAAATTCGATTGAGCTGTTGCGACAGCACAAAACGATAAATGACGTGTGCGACGTCCCGAAATGCCCAGGCACCTTTTTTCAGGAACGCAAGGAGAGGCAGATAATCGATCAAGATTTGAGACCACGGAAAACGAACCCTGCATGCCACGCAAACAGCACCTGATGGTACGATATCGAGTAGTGAAAAACGTCAAAGTATACAGATATCATGTTTTTGAGCTGTGAATGAAGCGTTCGCTCAAGTTTTCAGACCCTTTTGGAAGTTTGTTAATGCATGAAATTTTTAATAGATCTGTAGTGTTTCTTGCGCCAATCTCGCTCTCTGTAAAATTTCACACAATCTCGTGGAAAACTTTGAAATCTAACCATTAGTAGTGTTGATAAAAATATTTATGTCATTCCATGTGATACAATAATCATCCCCAACAGCTGTTATGTATAGAATTTTGCTCGAGAGCCGTAGCGATATTCAGCCGCACGCACGACTGGTCTGATAGCAAATTCTGAACCACTGTAATCTGTAATGTATCTAGTGTGCTTTTGTCCCCTTCATCGTCAAGATCTGTGAATATGTACCAGTTCAATTTTAGCAGTACGTACCCTACACTTCCTCTCCCGAATTGCCAGATGTGTATAATAGTCTTGCTACGTCAAAATGAGCTGCAAAAATGCCTTTGTCTGGGCAGTCGTACGTAATTCCACGTGCTCAAGTTCCAAGCCAAACGTATTCTCAGAATAGATGGCAAAATTTGGTACGATATTTTCAGGTCGGCACACCAGAAGTATCGAATTTTTTCAGCTATGTTTTGGTCTAATAGAAGTCTGTCTACTGTTTAACTGTGTATCTGGTCACCAACGTCTGCGTTATTCAATAGATAAATCGTCATGGCTGATGGAAATCCTGAAAATGCATCTGAATGTGTAAATAGACAAGGAGTGCATTCCTTCTTGTATCGCTTATAAAACGCTTACGATTTAAATTACATCCGAATCTGTCAGCTCAAAAATGTTAGTGTTTTTTCTTGCTTATGTTATATCTAGATCATTTCTGAAGATATCAGGTGCTTGAAAAAGAAAGTATAACATGTTAGCTGGTAAAGTAGATTCTTTAAAAGTGTATGCACTACAATGCTCAATTCATCTTAGCAGCTACCATGACTGCCATAATAATCCTGTCGGATCATACCCTACTTACTCCCTTTCTCTAGGCGACAGACAGCCTAGAATACCAACCTGATCAATAGATTCATGTTGAAAGCTTCTTTGTCGTCTACAAAATTATTACTAATGATGTTAAATCATAGATTGTGTAAACAATGTATTTTTTGTGAATTATCCTTTGAAGTGCGACCAACAGCACACGCGTGCCACAGACTATTTACAATCTTAGCGGGTTGTAGCCATCAGCGTGTGCAAAAGCTGGATCGCTCTGCCAACAATGATCGCCAGCGATGCTATGAAGGCATCAAACAGCCATGGGAATGAGCTGTCGTGTTGTGCAGGTGGCATACTGGTGTAATGGTTCGGGACTTTGACCTGATGCATTTCCTGCCATGATTAGTAGCGTGCGGAGCTTATCTTCGGGTACGATGATTGTAGAGCACTGCTGGTAGCAATGAAAACCCATATCGTCATGGGCGTTTTTCATTTCAACGCCTGCTCTAACCTGATCACGAGCTCAGGTCATGTTGCCCGCTCTATCAGATGCCACTTTAATCAGCGTCTTCTTTTAGCGCGTTAGTAGGACGCCAGGCACCTGAAATTGTAGGCAAGGTTAGTAAGTAGCTGACAATGGGCAGCGCAGCGATGAGGCAGCTTAATGTTTGATCTTGCTACAGTAAGCGGAAGCAGGCGTCAATGTATAAATTGTCCAGGTGTGTATTACTATTCATGATTAATTGAAAAGGCTTATGTAGATGAAGAACACTGGCAAGAACCTAAAAGACAGACACACGCAGCTCAAATCTCTTTTAAGCCGTCAAGCTTGGATTTACTTGTACTTTTTTGCTACCTGAACAGCTAACGCAGTCTGCGCTTAGCTCATGCCAATCGCGATATATTTTACACATGCAGAAAAGCACTGCGTTATCCAATATCTTGACCGATACAAAGTTCTCGTCGTTCCACTTAAAGATTTGTACAGTGTTTCGGCGACCGCGCCCTCGATGTTTTGACCCATTTCGCTGGAAGCAACAGATGTCGGACTTAGTCACCATTCCAGCCGGAAGATTTTTGGACTCATCTGGAGGCGAGCATTAGAAGGAGTAGGTGATATTTCCGGTCCTTGAAGCCAGTCAAACGAATGTCTACGTCAATGAAGCAATTCCATACGCCAAGTCTTGAACTCCCTAATATGAATAAAGACGAGACCAACATAGTCTATGTTAACATTGGCGGATACCATACCCCCACTGCGTGCTTTGTAAAGGCCCCGACATCCCTTGCTTATTGCCCGCTGTATTTTTTTTTATCGTCGTCCCCAAATGGCCAGAGAAGTACTTGGAATCTCGAAAAGGTCGTCAACAACGCTGCAGAGATGGATAGTATAGCAACACACGAGGTTAAAAGTGATAAGATTATCGCCTTCCTGATATTCCAGCCTTTTCTGTGTCCCCGGCTTATCTATAAAAAAATAAATACATTTTTCATTGTGGCGTGTGAAGCTGTCGAGAGGAACGTAGTAGGCTATTTGGACAACGATTTTGATAAAGAATTTGAAAACGAGTCGGCCTTTAAAGGGGGCGAGCATGGTCAAGTATTATAGGTCCAGGTTCATTAGATGCTGGATAACTGTTCTTGGACCAGGACGTACATAACTTGGTTTTTTTACTTATATAACCACATAAACTACTGAAGTGAGCACGCTTAAAATCAAGCGGGACTGTGACAGCCTTGTTTAATGTCTCGCAACGTAGATATTGAAATTTCTCTCTTGTTTTTTGCCGTAATCCTCTTTGAAAATATATGATTCGATCGATCTCCGTATTTACGAAATGAGTTGACGTCGACGATAATGCAAGTCCGCTGGTACAAACTTTTTGTCCAAAGCAACAAAAATGCTTCCACCGTATTGATTTCAGATTGGTGAAGTACAAAACACTGTGCTACAGCTCCACGCAAAGTACTATCAAGCACTGCAATCATTCGTTTCGATAAAGGTTCCTCATCCCATTTCGTTCTTTGCGCCGAGAAAGATTTGTCTACGTTTGTCCAATTAAAACAAACAGACACTCCAATAATCCCACGATAAGTTGGTATTTTCAATCTCTCAATTTCAACATTAGGCTCCAGTTGTTTCTGGCATAATTTGTCTTGCTGTTTATCGGTTACTTGTAAGAGACGCTGCATGATCTTGGTCACGGATGGTTCTGCCATGATGATAAGGTAATAATTTGTTTACCAAATGAAAAAACTTAATTTTTAGCTTTATCCAGATCTCTTAAATTGTATCGTAACCTTTTTTTACTAGAATTCGTTCGACTTCTTGGCGCAGAGTATCGACTTTTTAGGAGGTCAGAAAGAGACTTGCCTTCATCTGGAAGAATTTCCTCTCCTTTCGTTAGACGCTTGAAAAGAATTGAAGTTAGTCGGCGAGATTTCTTGACGGAAGAGAGGAGATTTTGCGCGGTTTTCGAAGCTTTGTCACCAGAGCCGAAGCCGAAAACTTTTTCATAATGAATGAGAGAGTCGGCACGGCGCTTCTTGCCCATATAATATTCTTTCTTTCACCGAAGCTACTGACTCAAGTTAATGAGTGAGGAAGTGTGGGTCTGCACAAGCGTACACGACCTAAAACTTCCCAAATAGATTAACTGCTTTGAAATATCAAGTCGGGTCCAACCTCGATACCCAACTGAGTGACTCTATTTGCAAAAGCAGGCTCTCAGAATTGCGAATAGGTATTGAAAACCACAGACTCGACAGTACTCCACAGCGTTTCCGAACCGGATGGAGCAAAATAAGAGACCTCAAATACCCAGGGACACCCAACGAGAAACTTGACGACGAAAAGCGTCCTGCTTTCCATCTTGCGAAGCACAAAAGAATGTTGTCGGAGAAGGAAAGTTGGGCCACTTTGCGGTGTCTCTTTGTATTGAAAATATTAACGGCAAGTGACGATTTGTGCATGCATATGACATGCTATATTCAGCCATTGGCGTAAACATCGATATCTATGAAATGTACGGCATATCAGCTAGGCTAGCTGTGCCATCAGATAATCGAACGTAGCTAGCACATGAGACAGACCCTATCGTCCATCACACAAATGCATATGACAGATTGCAGCTTGTGCTGGACAGAGCGGCGGTCGTGATGATGTGCTGACAAAAATATGGAGCTTACCAAGTAGATTAAGGAGTACAAAGACAAAAAACTAGAGTGGTTCAACCATGACGTGGTCTTGACAATCCAAACTAATTATAGCTGCATTAACTAAACAAGGCATTAGTCTTAAGAGACATTAGACATTTTAGCAATCTAGTTTAGAGCTACAACGGGGTCGGATACTTCCGCCATGTTGTGTACATTGGGCAATTTGTACCATCAGTATTCGGTAGTATCCAGGTTTCTATCATTTCTTGCGAGTATGCCGCTTCCATGCATACAATTAAGAAGGGTTTTGACAACAACATATTTGTCACTCTGGTCAACATAATGGTGCGGTGTACCTCAGTGCACTTGGTAGCCAATAAAAGTAAACATATCACTCAAATGTTTTAAAATTCAATTGAACTGGATTTTCTCTAACTTGGAAAATGTGCTTTCTAGCATTCAACTCGTTTCTTCGTCATGATTTTTCGAGACCGACGTATAGAATACTGCTACTTTGTCTGACACCGATTAATCTAAAGATTAGATCGGTAATGCCGTGGTTCAACATGGATGGCATCAAACGTTCGAAATCCTGATCCTACTCGGCTATTTTTAAGGCTAAGAATAGCCATCAAGCAAAAATGTTCTAACGACTTCGTCCATTTACTAAGGCCTGCTCATGATAATCATAGTCTTCGGCAAACCTTCCTTTTGAAAGAAAGCATGCTTACAAAGTCTTTGGTGACAAATGGTGCGAGTTGCTCAAGGATGAACCAGAATTATCACAAAAGAAATTGGCGAATAACCCAGTTACTGGTACTCGCCTTTTCTTATCTTTGATGTTGCAAGCTGACATCATTTTGTCGGGCTGCATTGTTTTTTTGCGTCCGTAATGGCGATGATGATTTCATCACAGTGGTTCTGGCTCCCACTTTGTGCCATTAGCGGCGAGGCTGTCGACGTTAGGCTGTATAATCGCATGTTCTTCTATAATTAAAGCTCTGCATTAATTGTCTTGCTGGTACCTCTTATTCACTCCTTTAAACGTGCCCAAAGTCTATCTACATGGCATTATCTTCCCCAGATCATATTTGTCGACATGGCTGGAATACCTGGTGTATGGGTGGGTTTGACCTTTTACGACATTTTTGTGAGCTACCTTATGCATCTACATTCAAAGCTGGAGGTACGCGAGGTACACATGCGGGCTTACATTGCTTCAGGTACTGTGTGACTGCGGTGGAACCGCATTTTGTCGCGTGTCCAAACTCTCGACCCTAGGTCGAGATAAAGTATATCAATTGGTTGTTTTCGTCATCTTGCAAATTTGTGGAAGTTTCGTAAGGAACCACATTCACATGTTCTATGATAAAATACGTTCTAGAATGTAAGTGAGTGTAGGTCTCATGTTGACGTATACAGAATGTACCCACGTTCAAAGAGATATGATACATATATTCATAGTAGTTAAAGGAAGGCGGCATTATACGAGGAACGACATGCATACAAAAACTGAAGGAAGAAATAGGATAGTTTACATAAATCGTAGGAATCAGTCTAACAGATAATCTCACTTCTTAATTCTCCAGCTACCGTCCAACACCTCATAAGATCGAACGAGCCTTACAAGTGGTAGCACTTGTTGCAGCAACGTCACACTGTCCCTTTAATAAAGAATATTGCTGCGTAACGCAGTTTTCAGAACAAAGTGAACCAAACAGCGCACCCGCTAATCTTGAAGTGACGTGTCTGGCGGATCACTTCGTGTCACAATCACTCAGCAAAGGATAGAAAGATACCGTGAGATCCTTTATTACAGCTGTCTAATATTTTGCATTCAGTGCCAAACCAGAATCATTCAATACGGATAAAGAACTTAGCTCCTCCTTCAATTCCACCCGCACCATTTCGGTGACTTCTACGTCATATATTTTCTAGCTGATATCCTCGAAAAAATTTCTCTAGCTCTATATGAGCCTTTGTTGAAGATTTTGAGAGGAGAATCACAGCCTTCGAGACTATTCAAGTCATTTTTTTCACGACTGCATAATCTTTTTCACCAATTACATATGTATCTTCATTTCTCAACACAGTGGGCCGTCACATTGGGTCAAACTTTTTAACTCTTGACAGTAATTTTCATCTCCAATGTCGCAGAAACAGTAGACTGTTACATTAAGTCACAAAAACAACTGCTCACAGCCTAATATCCCGCTCCACGAAAAATACACAATAAAGACTACACTGTACACCCGCCACCTCCCGTCTTATTCTGAGACTACCGTTCACTGCTGTTTGTGCCTTTCGTGGTTTGTTCGAAGGACTAAGCCAAAACAACAATATTAGTTTTGGACGATTCCATGTCCAGCGCAGAGGCTATAGCACCTTTGCTCTCGGACTAAAAGAGCTTCTGCTACCCAGTAGAAGAAGGTCATGACTCACAAAAGCTAGACCTGAATAAAAGTGTGTGGCACCTGAATTTCCACATTTCCATCGATATGTGACTCATTGCGTTTCAGCTACCGCATATATATATTAATCAAGATCAAGACTTTATAATGTTCCACGATGGCTACGTTCTTGAGCCCACTTTAACCAGTCCCCCACACAACGCACGGATATCGCATCTGCATTTGGTGTCTTCGATTCTTCCTCGATCTGTCAAGCTGTCTTCGGCAATCGCTTGGCTTACATAATCGCACGACGCCCCTGGGAATTTTCACGGCTTCACAAATTCGAGATGTTGCTATCAACCCAACAACTGTGCACTATGAGCCCCTACGTCTTTTGCTCCAATAAGGGTTCCAATGGGCGACCCCACAAATTACAATATAGCCCAATTCTAGCCCAGCCGGCAGCCTAAGGACTGATGCAACTCGACATTTACCGACGAAAAATTTGTCAGGCTATTTTGCGAGGGCGATCAATCATTCGTACATCTCAGTCAAAAGCGAAGGGGCGCGTAGGGCACAGATGTTTTGTACTATCACAGATGAAGTATCTGTGAATAATGTAGCTTATCTCAGCACGTAGGAGTTTCCTCTCTTGCTCGATCGAACATGGCGCACTGACGGAGCCCACACTTCAGGTATCTCCGGTCTGTATGGTGCAGAAATTGAACATCACATTTAAGGTGGCTTCCACCTCAACCATGAAAGAGGTTGGGTGGGCCTGATAGATCTTTGTCTGAGCCGCACCCGTTAAAAGTCCCTTCATTACGATTACAAACCGTTACACCTTTGGGAGAGGATCTGATGCCGTTACGGTATACCTCCGAGACACAATCTGCCACTTTTCACCAATTTCATTGACGGGTAGACTGGAGCTCTGAACAAATCCAATACGCCTGGTAGAGCGATGCGTAAGCTCGACACCCTTGATTCAAATCCTTCTGTATTCGAATCGCCTCATTTACAGAGGCACTGCCTGTTTGTACCTAGTATTGCGTTTGCCTTCCTAGCTTCCAGATCTCACCATTGTTGCGCTGTTGCTTCGTTTGGAGCATGACTGGATGAGTTTCTCCTCTCACACGCCAGTCAATTCTCATAACATTTAAGTTGTGTATTGCATTTCATGCAGCACGCACTGCTTTTTTGTTTGTCTATCAATTGACGTTGAAAGTCTCGGAGTATACAAAGACTTTTTATTATGATGGTCATCGTCATCGTTTTTGGGAGAATGTCATCAACCAACCTGTTTATCAAAGCTCCCAAATTTCGACTACAGTCCATATAATTTTCTTCGCCAAGCGAATTAACGAGAATCGACACTGCACGCGGAAATCCTCAGTAGGTGAAGGAAATGCTTGCGGCACCTGTTGCCAGTTAATCTCACGATGGGACTAGATCACTAGAAAAAAAGTTCCTTGTAAGTGCAGCACCTATCTTGCCCTAATATGTCCACACATCCAAGCTTGGATATTGCTTGTTTAACGAACTGTTCGAAGGCAATTTGTCAATTAACATCTGTCAAGCTCTATCACTACCCGCGACCAATTTTGATCAATCACGTAGTCTATAATTTGGCACTTCTAAGCGTTGCAGGTACATCGGTGTATTGTTTACGGGCATCAAAATCCCTGTTACATTAATACAGTGCTTTATCACTTATCGGAACAGGTATGATATCTGCGAATTGGGTCACAAGGTAAGTGAATACCAATACAGTTCTGTGAGCTAAAGGTGCAAAAACCGTAGTAACACATTAGTGTAGCTCGGGGGTTAACAAGTCAAGTCTGTCAGTATCCGACCAACGACATAATTATTCAACATTGCAAATACTTTGATCATTATTAATACCCAACATCTTTCGTGTGAATGTTAACACACTCGTTTGATATTTCCACGCACTTGTTTTTTATCTCCACTCATTCGTTTTACATCTCCACTTACCCATTTCTGCGTATCTTTAATCACTCAATTCTTCGTATCTTTACTCACTCAATCAATCACATGCAGGTGGTCAAATCGGACACACTCAAGAAGATTGAAGCCATTTTTGTAGCCATCCGTGCTCCTGCCGCTGCTAATCACGTTTACACGGTGGCTAACCAAGTGCATCCTTGATAAAAGTGTTGTGTTAGCGTCTCCCGCGACAAATGTGCATGTCGGATAAGGGTGCGTCGTTTTGTTTCCACCGGACAATATCACCTATTTTCAACTGTCCTTAACGGACCATCAGTCTAGCTCCGCTCTTGGACTTATGCCCCCCCTTTGGTTGCAGCCAGAGACAAAACTGTAGTCAGACTTCTGGGCGCCGAGGGTGACTCGGGACGATTGGGTCTGGGGGCAATGGGGTGCTGGGGTGCTATCTTGATATGCTATGCCGCTTGTATAGAAGCCAGAAAAATTGAATGTTACACGTGGCTAAAAAAACCTATACGATAACCTGCCAACTCTGTTTACCGCAGTGCGATTCTGAACATTATAGCTTTATGCAGATAATTATTCCTGGAAAGCGTTTCACAAACTCACCGATGGCCGGGTGAGCCTTCAGCTATTCTAACACGTAAAACAGTCGTTTAATTGCGTCCTCCGTGAGTAGGCATCGCTGGAGGTACTGAATGTGAGCGGAAAAGTTGTGAAGGTCACGTGAAACTCCGAGTGCCGGTGTGGGTTGTCGTCCGTCGAATTGACACCTATTGCGGTCGGACCAAAGAAAGTGAAGTGTTACCGCGCGAAGAACGTGCCACACATGGCCGACAACATCTTCGCTTGATTTCTAGTCGTTACGCACTCGCATCTGATTAGTCAGAGCAATGTTGAGCCACGTCAGACGCTTAACGAAGATAGGTGATACCAGCTCGACACCACTTCTCTTCTCTTCTCAGCTGCGATAGGAGCGTGTTGTCGAAGAACAAGTGCTGCTCGGTATCGATAGCGTCACACTCGTTGCGGATATAGTACCAAATGTGCGAGTTTGCTGCCTTGAGGAAACAAATCCTCGATCGCACCGGCAGAAGGCGGAAGGCGAGCAGAAACGGCAAGTCTTCAAATGCAAGAAGCAAAATTTTGTGGAAATGCTTGTCGAAGATTGTAAACGACTTGATTTGCGCTTCGTCGAATCGCTGCGACTGAACTGTCATTAAATGCGACTTCATCGGTCGCTTGGTATCTACACAGCACGATAAATTGCAGATCGCGGTATCTCTGGAAACAAGCACGTCTTCACACCACTTGTGCAGCCTAAGTGAGAAAGTGGACACATCCGCTCGCTGTTCAACGGCAAAACACAAGTTGCGACGCGTTGAGTCGATTCACGATCTGTGTTGCTTCCTTATACCGCACCCGCAGCCACTTTGCCTGTAAACCAGGCGTTACACTCTCGCGAGTGTCTTCGATGTGTCGTTCTACGAAGTCTTGCTGCATCGGCCACGTGTTGGATTCGCCAACGAAGTCTGCAAGTGAACTCAGCCCGAAGACTCTGGCCACATGCAGCCTAAAGCTTCGTTATAGTTTGTGGTTCAGGCAGCATGCCAATGCATCGGCGGTGTGGTCTACTGGTGTGCGTCCGTGGGGGTCTGCTCGAAGTGCAGTTCAGCGGCCGAGTGGAACCAAGTCGGCTGTCGGAGACTACGCTGCACGCTTGTTCGGTGGAAGATCATGCCACGTGATCTCCCAGCGTACACGACTCAAGAAGCTCGCCACCACGTTAACGTCAGGCTCAGCTTGAGCAGGTTGCCTTGGCGAAGCGGCGGGATCGTGAAGAAGGCAAGCGCGTTGCACCGCCCAATGCAGAGAAGAAGCTGTTTGAGCAGCTCATTGTTTGCATTGTTTAATTCCAAACGCTTGCGTCACTCGCCGCACGCATGAACCGCAGTAGCAAGGCAAGCCGCTGCCGCTTGCGGTGCGCGTCCAGACTTGGGACACCGAGTCTGCCATCACTCCACCGTCGGTGCACGAATTCATTTCGGAAAAGCTGTACATGCTACTGGTCGCGGTTGTGCTTGCGACTCGGCACAAATGGTACAGCATCGACTGCCGCCTTTTGACGACCGGTGCCGGTATCGATACATACTGCGTGTAGTGATGCAGACGGGAAAATACCTACCAGATGTCGACTACAGATCTTGCGTGCGCGCCGATACCACGCCTTGAAGCCGTCGTAGAAGCGCTGGTCGAGAGTCTCGATGATCGTGTCGTCGACCGAAGCCTTCTGAACGGGATACCAAGTTAGTTGACTGTCTTCGTGCGATCGAGCACTTGAACTTCAGGGAGCATGAGTTAGTTTTTCTCGATTAATCGCCAGGAGTATCGACTCGAACAAGTTGAGCTTCGCGTTTGAGATTCTGTAGTATCCTTCCACGAGCTCAGGTTGCACCTGCAGGCTCCTTACTGAGCTCGCAAGCAGCATCGAGTCATCTGCAAAGAATATGTTTTGGGTTGTGTGGTCTGTGTTCAGACACATACCGCACACTTTGTGAGATCTCATCAGAAGAAGATCGATCGTCAAGGCGAAAAGCAGCGCAGACAATGGATCACCTTGCTTCACGCCTCGCGTCGGATGCAGTGCGGGCAGAGGGTTCCGGTTGATCAGTAGATGCGCTTGTACAACAACTTGATTCACCGAGTAACCGCTGTGCCGAACCCCAGCCCCTCGAGCAGCCGGTCATGTAGTGCCAGTTGACTCGATCGAACGCCGTCCGGAAGACCTAGAACATCGCGTATGCCTCTTCGTGATGAGCTGTCACGAGGTCTGCAAATTAGCGAATTATTTTGTTCTCAGTCAACCAATCAATGAATATCATTTTAGTCAATTATAATAGGTCAAACTGTAATCTGCACAAGTAAGACGTGACAGAAAATTTATCGATTCGACGATCAGGAAAAACATGATCAGGAAAAACATGATCAGAAGATATTAAGAGCAATTGCATACTATTATTGGTATTACTACTATTCACGTGGGTGTTCTACACCAACAATAAAGTTCAACGCTATCGGTAGAAGTACGGTTAGATACCGGTGGATTTACCAAAACAAATGTCAATTTTTTAGATTTATATCGTCTCTTACAAATAACAAAAAAACATATATTGATCAAGTCTAATATCTGTTTCTCTTACGCTCGTACATGTGATTTTGATAAAGACTAGAGCGCAGGATGAAGAGGTTTCCACCGACCCCCTCCACGATGAAGTACCATCGAACATCGACTCAATTTGACATTAACGCAGCCTTTTTTTTCCTTCAATCTCCGTGCACGTGATAAATTTCGAACTCTGCTCTGTGGGTCTTTCTTGGCAGAATCGACACACGTCGCCAATGCATCCCGCGCCTCCTCCATTTGCACAGCTGGTGTCCGTGACAATTTTAATTCCAACTGCAGCGTCTCCAGATGATACTACTTGCGTACAGGTACCAAGGTATGGAGTGACAGTTCCAGCATCATTACCAACTTTATCTTGCTTAAAATCTAAGCTAGGAGTAACAGATGGGCTCACGCCAGGTGGTGTAGCTCCTGGTTGTGGATTTGGTGATGGTGGCGGACTCGTTGTACTCGGTACACCATTGCCGCTTGGAATCGTTAATTTTTGATTGCCATCGCAAGTAAACATGCCAAAGTGTTTCTCATACTCAGCGCCTGTGTAACTCTTAGTCGTGTCGTACATCATAAACCAGTAGCTCCTTGGAACATTCTTGGACCACATCACATAATCATTAAAATACTGCTGCATCCCGTCTTTTGATGGAGCATTCGCACCGTAATTCTCCCCTTGTGTCGGCCATCCTGTCTCAGTCACGTGTAGCTTCGATGAATCATATTTGGCAGCGACTTGCTCCCATTGTGTCTGCAATTTCTCCACAGCCTTTTGTTGACCATTCGTAAAGAACGGATAAATATTGACACCAATATGATCACACACTGCAGAGAGCGCAGACGCTCCTTCAGCCGAAAGCCACTCATTAATACGTTGTACTGATCCAACTGGGGTTGAGCCGACGCATGCTTTAACACGTGTAATAAACTCAATAAGTTGATTCGCAGTGAATGTCCCGAAATCTTTGTTTTTAAGATTCTCGTTCCCCACGTATACAGCTTCAACAGCGCCAGGATTAGCTTTAAACCCTTCGCATACAGCCTGAATCTCAGCATCAATCAGTGCTGGATCTGTAAGTTGCACTCCAACAGCTACTTTAATTCCTGCTGCAGCAGCTGCGTTGATTACGTTCACGCCACCAAAAAGAGATTGAAACGTTCGAACACTGGAGAAATATTGCTTAATTTGACTAAAGTCTTTCCCAACGACGTCAGGATTGACATTAGCATGATGCCATGGCGCATAGCAAATTCCAAAGGCAAGTGGATCCGCTATGATAGTACGTAGTGTGATTGCGGCCGTCAGAACTCGCTTAGCCATTGTAGACTCCTATTTGATTTTAAAATCTCACGCCACATTCCTTGACCGGCGGACAATTGGAAAAGGTAGCCAGTGCAGCTGGCGGATTAACAACAAAAGAGAGAGAGAAGATGCAAAGGAATTGATACCTTCGAACCGTAGAGACGTGACATAGAGTGGGAGAGAAAATGACACGAACAGTGCTCAAGAAGGCACAGTTGACGAAAACAGGATAGATCGGGATACAATACGACATGATTCAATGTTACATATCAAGTCATTTCTCTTACAGTGCGTTAAAAGCTTGGATAGGCATCATTCTCACATCTTAACACCAATATGCCCAAATTCTGTATGAGGGATCGTGACCGTCGCTTCTGTACAACCGACAACGAAGGTGTTGTACTGTCTTACTATCCAGTTAGTTTTTCATATTAATTCGGTTATAATTTACACGCTACTATTACGCGTGTCACTCAATCCATGGTGATGTTCATATTCCCCAAGTAATGAACGAGTTGATGCATTGCGTCTTAATGCACCTTGTTCCAATTGACGACGACGTATTCGCCATGCATCTAAATTCCGTCGACGTTCTATCGCAGTGCTGCTTAATCCACACGTACTGTCGTGAAGTGATTGATTGCTGCCATATGGATGCACAGTCACTCGCTTTTTGAGTGTTGTCGTAAACTTTTTCTTGCGTTGAGCCAACACAGTTGGAAATGTCTGAAATACTTCGACTGACGCATTGATTAACGGTACTGTGTACACTCCTACACGTTCGACAGAGCAAGGGATCGCGACCAGATCAGCGTACATAAACAGCCAGTCAGCAATACGTCGTGTGATGAGAATCTGACCACCATCACCTAAATCACCAACTTCATTTGCTATAACTTCAGAAGCCCCTGTGTATGTCATTTTACCGGTTACAGCGTGTACGTCTAGAACAAGTGGTCCATCTGAGTTTATAGCATCGTGAATCCCCATCCGAACGCGTAAACCACAAAATAAAAGATGGCGACCAATACGCTGTTTTTTAGTTGCTGGTAGTAGTCCATGCAATTCTTTTGGCCAAGGTGCAATTAAGAGCTGCATTTGTACGTCCAAGGAATACTCAATGGCTTCTCGAATGGTATGAAATGCTAATTGAAATGCGTCACCTGCAGTTGTGATTTCATAGCCTCGGTATTTCATTAGCAATGAGCGTAAGATATTGTCGTGAATCTCTGTTGCTCGTTGCATGATCAATCCATCACCAATACCCCATAAATCACTGGACTGTTGAATATCGGTAAACACAAACACAGGATTGACAAGAGGAGGCTCAGCTGATTCGACAAGCACCTGTGTTTCATGTGGTGAAAGAAATTCTCCAGTCTGCATCAGTCGTGCTTCAACTTGTGCTTCCACATCATCTGGTAAACAATAGCGACAAAACTCAAGGACACACATTTGACTGCACATGGTTGTAACAGCAAGTGCGAAGCCTGAAGTCGAGTAAATTGCAGCACTCACGCTCACAAAATTTACCAATTTATACTCATCTTTTGGCATTGCATACAATACGACAGATGCAAGCTGGAATTGCATTGTGAAGATTGCGTAGATCATCCTGTCAAGCAGCAACAGAATGGTGTTATGATTCTACAACACAGTTTTAATGGAAACCATCGATCAAGCGTCTCGTTCGTACATGATTCGTGACAGTCTCTGATAAATAGGCGACGTGACAAACTGACCCTGTACGTTCTCGTACTTTCGGCCGACACACTTAAGATGCATAAGGTTCCATACCATGTACAAGAAGCTGGCAAATTGAACCAAGTATACAGCAAGCAAACATCGCTGCGTATAGGTCGTGTACCCACGTCTTACGGCTGCTACTGTCGTTTCGACTATGACAAAAACCAGAACAATGATCCAAACTCGTCGTAAATACCATTGAATTTGCTCTCGTTCCTTGTCAGCACCACGATCCATTGAACGAGTAGCAATCAATCGAAGCTCATAGGCAAGAGGGAAGGACCATGTGGCCACAGCGAATAACGCGCTGTCCCCTAACACCAAAAGCGCCGTAACTAACGCGTCATGTGAGATTTTAAAGTGCAAGACAGCAAAGACACCAAGTTTGCTGTATCGGTTGGCCAGTAAATGTTCGTCCAGTTCTGATGTAGATTTAAGAGGTTTAATAAGGCCTACAATCATGTACACGACGCGCCCAAAGCAAAAGACGAAGTAACAGAGGAAAAAAATGAAAAAGAGCCATCGGACACTTGAAACTTGGAGATCCCAGCTACGTCGTAAGCTGTAACTTGTGATGCCAGTGGCTATACATGATATGCTGGTGGCAATGAGGACGAGTGATGTCCACATTATTTGAGCTTGCGATACAAGTGACAAATTAAGAGAATGACTGAGGCTGGCAAGCGCCGTGTTGTAAGGTATTATTGGAAGCTGCGTGAGACTTTATTATCAAGAGTAGAAGCCGTCCGAACTTTTGTGAATATTTAGACGTCGGAAGTGAAGCGAGCACCACTGGAATGTGGTAAGGAATGTAACACACCAGCCTTTTACCAAGTCGTAGTACCACTATACTGAAGCGATGTATCAAGTTGATTCCTTGAACAAGAGAATGCAAGTTTCATGACTTTGGTATTTTTTAGTATTTTAACTGACAGACAATGCGCTATTTCTAAGAAAACCACCCGAAATCTTAGTGAGTTAATGCATCATCACATTATAGTTTTGATGTGACTTGAACACATCAAGCACATTACAAACTTGATGCATTCATTGTGCTTATTGCGACAGATATCGAGGCAGAGAAACACAGAAAGAAAGTAACACAAAAGGTGTAACCCCTTAACCTTACCAATGGTCGTGTCCCTTTTCCATTTTATATCTCCTTAAACAAATATGAGCCAAACATTTTTTGTTCTTGGTCCACCCACCACTTTCTCAAGGCATCCGTAAACATGAAAGCAGTCAGAAATCCCATCATTAATGAATCATTACAAATGCATGTGAGGCTGGCGGTCGTCATGAGATGTCCTCGTCTTGTCTCACATGCTGAACAGAATGCTTTTGCTTGTAATCTCTCAGGTTTGACAGATGAATCAAGCAATTCATGCTAAATGTGACATTAATAAAAGAAAAGTATTGCGCTAAGTTGTTCAGTACTCCATGTATTGAGCTTTTTAATCGAATCATTAGAAACTGCTTTATTTCTATAATTGAGACCGTTTTAAAACGTCCCAAAAAATCCTAATGTAATTTCTCTGTATAATAATAAGTTAATACCCCCGAGTTACATGCTCGTCGCACGCGTGTAAAATGAACCATTATCAGTCCGCCAGAATGATCGTTGTACGCGTCCAAAGCGACTAAGTCCACCTTGTACTGGTACATGTTCTGATGGCGGTACCAATGGTTGTGGCCGAGACATTCGTCGTCGTTGCTCAGGAACTGGAAGTTGCCCTGCATTACTAGACAATCGCGATCGGTTGCTTGATGCAACAGAGTAAAGCGATGACGCAGTAGTAGCTCGACGTTTCTTGAGTGTTGTCGAGAACATTTTCTTTCGACCAGCAAGCACTTCTGGCAACACTTGATAAACCTCTAATTTGGCTTTAATTTGTGGAATTGAGTACTCGCCGACTCTATCAACAATAAAGTCAATAGCCACGAGATCTTCATACATCACGAGCCAGTCAGCCACACGTTTTGTTACTAAAATTTGACCACCATCTCCTAAATCACCCACTTCATTGGCAATTACTTCGGATGCGCCCGTGTAAATCATTTTACCCGTCACAGCGTGTACATCTAAGATCAAAGCACCATCTGCTTCAATAGCATCGTGTATACCCATACGAACACGAAGTCCTCCAAAAATAAGTCGATGACCTGCACGTTGTTTTCGTGTGGCGGGCAACATTCCATGTAATTCCTTCGGCCAATTGGCAACTAACAATTGAAGTTGGACATCTAAACAATATTCCACAGCTTCTCTTACAGTATGGAACGCAAGTTGAAAAGCGTCACCTGCTGTTGTAATTTCATATCCTCGATACTTCATAAGTGATGAACGGAGGATGTTATCGTGAATTTCAGTCGCTCGCTGCATCACAAGACCGTCACCTGTAGCCCACAATGCACTAGATGACTCAATGTCTGTAAACACAAAGACGGGATTCACAAGCGGAGGTTCAGCTGACTCCATGAGTATTTGTGTATCTCTTGGTGACAGGAGATCACCTCCTTGCAAAAATCGAGTTTGGATTTGGGCTTCAATATCATCGGGAAGACATGATCTGCACATATTGAGTACGCAAGCTTGGCTGCACATGGTCGTCACTGCAAGGGCCAAACCTGAGAGATGGTAAACGAGTAAACTTACACTGATAAAGTCCAATAACTTTTCTTCGTCATCTGTTATTGCGTACATGACTACGGAAGCCAACTGAAACTGAAGTGAAAAAAGTGCGTACACGATCATAATTCGCTTGAGACGCTGGTAGACTGGTGATGTGACAAATTGTCCCTGTACATTTTCATACTTTCTGCCGCCGACCTTAAGCCTGATGATGAGCCAAATCATGTACAGAAAGCTGAAAAATTGAACGAAATACACAGACAGTAAACAACGCTGTGTATACTGTGTGTATCCCTTGTGTACGATAGCTAAGGCCATTTCAATCATGGCAAAGACCATGACAAAAGAGTGTACGGTCCATGCGTACAATCGAATCTGTTTTCTCTCTTTTTCAGCACCTCGATCCATAGACTTGGCTGCGATATTTGATAATTCAAATGTAAGTGGGAACATCCAAAGCGCTACACCGAAGAGAGCGGCGTCTCCAAAACACAGTAAAGCCGTTGCAAAGGCGTCACGCGTCTCTTCAAGCTGAAGCACTGTGTAAATCCCCATGCTACTGTAGCGATCGTAAATCACTTCGGCATCATTGGACGAGGACGATGAAAAGTCGGAAGTAGATGTCGCAATCGGGTAGACGCTTACCCAAAGCAAATACAATACACGTGCACTAGTCCAAAGCCATAGGTAGAGAAAAAAAAAGAAAAAGAGCCATCGGACACTAGATACGTGAAGGTCCCAGCTACGTCGCAGACTCACCATGGTCATACCGGTCGATAGACTGGACAGCGCCATGGAGGCGACGGCAAGGGCCGTCCACATGACACGGAGAGAGACGTTAGAACTTGAATGAAGAGTTGAAACGTCGTTTAAACTCACTGACGCGGTGTGTAAGTTTGTGCGTTCGGACGGACGACACAGACGCGAGGCAGCGGCGTGATATGCTGCTGTTCTTTGGGATTTGGGCTACCAATAACCATGTTGGTCAAAAGCGAGGTTTCAGCTGGTACAGGACCTTTCTTATATAGTAAACTCAAGTGAGAGGGCAATCTTTTGAGAACACGAGTTGTAGAGTTGTATTCCATTGCGTGTAGACAAGGTGGAAAATTGACTCTAAATCTTTTTGAAAATTCAGGACTTGACTTTATTCAAATACTAAGTTCACGATATTCTCCAGAATCTCTTCAAATATAGCTATTAATGTTGTACAAATATTCTTAAAGCTTCGAGAATCATGGCAATTGTGAAGTTATCCAAAGTTTTACAGGCAGATTTTCTGCTCGATATTACAATCAGGCGGCAACGCTGAATCTTTCTGTGATTTGGTCTTTACTTGTCAAAGATGTGTGTTGCATAGCTGCAAGACAAGAGACTGTATTGCCTGCTTGTATTACTGCCTTCAACTGTACCCAAACTCGACGCCCATAAAATTTTTGTGTAGACAATAAAGCTTAACAACAACTTATTTTTTATAATTATGATATTTGATATAGTGTTTGTTTGTAGTAATAACATAGTATCAAATATGGTTTATATTACAGCTACAGACACGTGGTACTTACTATTATCGAAGCAAATACTTCCGCCGCTACGACTCTAGTATCAATATGTACGGATTTGTAATCTATCTTTTAATATAAAAAAGGGACAAGTATCCACTAGAAACAAGGAGATATCCAGAGCAAAAAAATGTTGCAGAAATCTATATTTGACAAATGATAATCTTATCAATCGAGCGGCTTTACATGCTCTCACACACATTGGATCTGATCATTGTAAATATTAGTTTTTATACAATCACCTCGAGGATTTATAAAGCGTGGAAGAATATATGTGAAGTATTGAGGCATAAGACATTGGGGTTAGATTACATACGCTTTGAACCAGTGGTTACGCGGAGACTTTGCTGCAAAGCTCAACGTGGAAGAGAATGAACATTACTGACCCACTGCAGTGCGTTTTGAATAATGGATGGTTTTGCTTAATCAGCAATCCTCTTACTCACGACCGAAATCGTGCTATTTGGCTGGTAGCATCTGTTAATCGACAAAGGACATTCGTTTACAAACGTGCTGCAATGTTTTAGTGTAGTTAATGAATTGGATTCATTCATTGATTTACTTTAATTAGGTTAATGATTTATCGATGCGGTACGACATCATTGTTAGCATCCTAGCGTAGCTAAAAAATGTCTGACTTACTTTGAACAGATGCCATTTACGAAGATATGGTGTGGTATATAATGTTGTGTTTACGGAAACTGGTGACGCAGAATCTCGAATACAGAGACCAAAAATTACGAGAAAACAAAGCTACCGCGCAGCTCAAATCAAGTACATGTAATAAAGCAGCCAGTTGCTTGACTTCGTTTGTTGTTCCATGTATCATAACTAAAAACTTGCCATCAACAAGCTTGCACATTGCCATGATCCTATTGAGCAAACTCATTGTATTGGACAGGCTGTAAATTCTCGAACACATGTCCAACATTAACCTTATCCACGTGGCGTCGATGAGAAATGTGTGTTGCGCAAAAGGCGTATCAAACTTTTTCATCTGAATTCGCCGTGTTGTAGCCGATATCGCACAATCGGAGAGCGTTGAAACTGAGAATCTGAAAAAATAAACCAAAAGTCTTCGAAGCTACCAAATTGAAAATTGTGCACTCTAAAAAAACGATATTTTACACATGACAAGCATCTTAATGCCATGTTGAGCAATGTTTTTGATTCTGAAATGAAACCAGACTGTCCCTTGCCGGGTAATGTAAAATCTGCAAGCTACCACTTTCATAGTTTTAAAGTTACAATATCAGCGTAGATATACGTGGTTTCGCCGAGCTAGACTGCGCGCCAACATCAGATTTGAGTCATTAACTCAGTTCTTCTACTACTCTTTGTTATTGTGCCAGCGTTTGTTAAGAGATTTGGCATTTAAAGCAATTTAAAGGCCTTCATCATCTAAAATTTGCTCCGGTAGATTACCAATCCTTTACTCCATTGCAATGTGCTTTCGCTTAAAGTCATTGAAGAACGTTGACAACAATTTTTCTGTTTGTGATCAGCTGTGGGCGGCCCGCATGTGCATATTTGAAGCGCCATTGATCATTTTGTCTTGTAATCATCAAATCATTGCATACTTTTCGTTGTTGGCTTCCCCAGTCTGTTTTTAAGAACCTTCGTTTTGATGCAACAAGAGAACGATAATCGTCATTAGATTAAATTTAAAACCTTGATCTGATAAAGAATGGGGTTAGTATAGTCAATCAGTTTGCCGTCTGTACTCCGATATCAGCGCAAATGCTGAGATAGGATAGACTTTGTTAAGCATTTTTTGTCATTTATGAAGACTTAAGCATCATTAATCTCAGTCAATCTAGCCGACTGGCATAGATGCTATCGGAATTAACTAAACATTCCTATCTGGATTGGCATAGTTCTTTTCTACAACACTAGCAACAAAAACAGAGCAAAAACCTTAAATCGCGAAATAAATCCTTATAAATACGTCAAGTCACACAGCCTGTGCTAGAATGATTGTCTAGCTATTCCTTGTCCGGGTTTGACCTAACGCTCTTGATCCATTTGTTCATTGTTCATTTTTTCGCGCCTTCGTCCTACTTATAATATATGTCAGTCGATGGGTGCCGATAATATACCATGTTGAGCCTTTTAACTTAAGATTATCGCTCGTAGCATTCTTTGATTGCCCTATCGAAGGTGCTGACGCTCTGTTTTCCGATTATCGGAAGAAAAACGTTTACTGTTGTCGAGGCCACCTGACGCTAGAGGTCCCGTGATGAGGCTCAAAACTTCTCATTTATCTGACGACCTATTCGTTAACCCACGCGGATCACTTTTTGCTGCGAACAACACAACTTTGCCTAAAACATCTTTGTATCTTAGGCGAAAGTAAAAATGTCATGGAGACTTGGTAGTGAGCAGGTACAGATGCGATCTACTGTATATCTCTCGTCAATTAGTTGGGATATGATTTCTATGTCATGGTTGTTACTATACTTGCCATCATGATAAAAAAAGCTTAAAGTGCGAAATTAAGTGCCTGTTGCTATTCAATATTACACAGAAGCATGCCGTCAACTTTTCTAGTGCGATGTACGATCTCAACTATCCAACTCAAAAGGAATTGCGGCTCACTGCCCATTTTGTCATCCGAGGTTAAATGAAGAAGCAATATCATTGCTAGCTGAGTCACACAATGCACCAAAATGATCGCAGCTTTATGCTCTTCTTCTTCCGAGCGAAATAGACTTTTATGACATGCTAAACTTTGCTAGAGAAGAAGGGTGACCCAACGTTTTATCTGCCTCTTGATCAATGACTTATGGCGATCCTGCCAGGCCATACCTCTCGTCCTACATGCCCTGAGGCAAATAAGGATACTGCTCCATTCTCACAGAGGGTAAATCGTAACGACTCAAGCGAAGATTGACTACAATTACTACCAAGTGCAGTGGGGCTGTTGTAGCTCTTTCACTTATAGAATGCTTAGTTAAGGTCGGTGACTTTCATTCTATACTGAGAACCAGTACGAGTGTAGCGACTCGCAAATCGCTACCTCCTAGAGTACCGAAAACCTAACATCAAGATGTTTTCATCCGTTCAAGATTGAAACTGTATTTATCTAATTTATTGGCGGCAGAGCCGCCTATATCTGAAAGCATAGGTTTTTCCGATTAAATAGAAAAACATAATTGATATGCATAATTATTGCAGTCACGCCAAGTAGTAGTTTTTTGTTACGGTGTAGCCAAACCATTGTGTGATTACCCCGACTTGAGTAATCCGCACCTTTGTACGGTCTATCATCTTGTGTGTCCCACCCTTTCATACCAGGGTACGTGTAAACCCATTACACCCCTTTTGCATCCATTCAAAAAAAGTTGATGAGGGGCACTATCATCCGGTCATCAGCTGTATTGTACTTCGACAAGTTGCTGAATAGTCTACTTATTCAAGTGCAATCCAATTTTAAACCAATTTTAAACCAATTTCTCCGGAGTAGCGGCGCTGACTATTTGACTTCGGTCTTGAACTTTGCATGAGCTGCCCGCAGACCCTAACTCTTAAAGAAGCACCTCAAAAAGGGGATCGGTCGACACAGAACAGATTTCTATGTGGCGGCTAGCTTATCAAAGCGCATACACTCAGGCTCCGCTTCAAAATTACGGACACGAACATCCACGTCGAACATCATGTGATCTGCACGTGTAAAAATGTGTGTACTTACGACGCGTTCTAACCAGCTATTCTCATCAGGCGATCTAACGTCGCTGGTAAAATAGATAGTCACTGAGAAATTTTTGAGCATTTTGCTTCAATATCTAGGAAAAGGGAGTTACTGTCTTTCATACGATGTTGATATAAATCAGAGCTAGACATCGAGTGCTGAACACGGTCCAATCAGCCGTACAATGCTGCGTTTATAAGGATTTTCAGTATTTGCTGAAATCGCGACTTATTTAGCTTATTCTATGGATGTGCAATTTGCGGCTTGCCGTCAGCCTCCGATACGTAGGCTTATTCTGGGCCAAACCAAGTGCAAGTGATTAAAGATACTTGTAGAATCTTTGTCAATAATGTGTTAGGGGTAGGTATCATAATGAACTTCTTTTATTTGTCCATGCCTTCAAAGCATCCTCATTACAATAAAGTATGATTCATTGATTAAGTGAAAAATAAACATCGATGTGAATGTGAGCTATATAACACGGGAAAGCGAAGTGCTTGGCAGCTTCGTTACAATCGCCGTTCCGCATCTTGTACTCTGTGTACTCAATAACGGACTTATCGTGACCAAAGGATAACGACGTTAATTTAGCGAGAGTTTCCGTCTGGCGTAGTGAAGAACGACTAACAACCCTTAGGGCTTCTCGGTCGCTCAAACCATAAGTAAAAACAATTTGTCGCCACTAACATAACCGCTCCGTACGATGGAATGTATCATACGGTGTTTGCTGGCTTCTCGACACTATCACATCGTGGTCAGACAGACCATCCTACCTGTGCGTCTGCGTCCCCTCATACATACACCCGGAGACCGCGGCTTGCGACTGCTTTTGTCTACCGGGGGTTGCTCAGAAATTAAAGCAATGTTGCTTCTACTTTCTACAGACATTCTCATATATCGCCATAATAATGTCACATAGTAATGTCTGTGCGCAACGAGCGACGGAGTTGCAGTGCACTTCACACATAAGAAGCTTTGACTCAAAAAATTCGCGTAGTGAAATCGCAGAAATCAAGTTCGTAAACCATACACCTTTGCGGTAACTAGGTACCCAGTTCTATACATATTTCAAAAACGCTTTTGAGAACTCTTTTATAGTATTACCAAACGTATATAATCCATTACTTTTCTGTTCAATAGAAGGTAAAAATCAAAGTGAATATATTTAGGTCCTTAGTTCGCTAACCTGTGCTACTTCTAAGCCTATCGTTCTAGATCCTTCCTAGAAGTTTCTATAAGCAATCTTATTTATCAAAACCAATGAAGGACTCATATAATATCCATTATTACGTCCGTAATTGATGTTGTGCTGCAAGGAAATGAAGAAAAGAACTGGAGGGGATACCAACAAGCTTTGCATTCACCCAATGTGGATCGTGAGCAACGTCGACTATTGCGCAAAAGCAGGACTAAGTCTGCTGATAGACCTTTCGTCAGTCTCTTCTCATTTCGTGTGGACTGTATGAAAGAATCAGTCGTAACGGACGTGCTTGAACCGTCGTATGAAACCACGATCACATACCGCCGCATCGGGCAATTCAGCGGTGCAATCTCAGCACTTCTACTTACTGTTACTGCTGATTATGCTTGGTATTGATTCCGGAAGCTTCACGCAGATACTGCAGAATGTTGGTTCCGAGTGCTTTCGTCAGCATATCTGCAAGCTGGTACTTCGTGTTAATATAGTCAATCTTCAATCGTCCTTCTTGACGTTCTCACGAATAAAGTGGTGCATGATATCCACATGTTTCGTCCTTGCATGGTATCCGGCGTTATTGGCCAATGCGATTGCTCCTTGATTATCTTACCACACCTTCGTGACTTCAACTTGCGCATGACCCATGTCATTTTGTATAGCTCGCGTCCAAAGAACTTATTGTGCAAAAACTGAGAGCCATTTAGTCAGTATCAGCGGAGCTTAGAGCAAAAGTCCGCCGGTACTTCGACTTGAATTATAACGGGGTTACTCGTGCCGTTTTATAAAAGGGTGGATTGCACAAGATTGTGCGACCGTACAAAAGTGTGTATTACAGAAAATAGTCTAATCACACAGTGGTGTGGCTTCACCGTAACAAGGAGCCACCACGTGGCAGGATTGCCATTAGTAATGCATACTACTATATTAAGTAGAATTTGCTTTATTAGTTGGGTATTACTATATTAACTAAGAAAACCTAGGATTTGAGAAATTGGCAACTCTGTCGCAACTAAAACAATTAGATACAATTTTGATTTTGAACAGAAGCGTTCGTTTACCTCTGTTAGGGTTTTTAGTACTTAGAAGTCGCGGTTTGCGGTTCGCTACACTAGGCCTGGTTCTTGGAAAGATCGTAAGGTCGGTGATCTTAGCTTATTTTCCTTTAAGCAAAGAGCTACGGCAGCCCCGCTGCACTTGGTAGCACTCGTAGTCAATCAACGCCTGAGTCGTTACGACTGTTCCTTTGTGAGAATGAAAAAACTTCTATTTGTCCCAGGGATGCAGAATGAGCTTAATAAGCTGATGTTTCGGCTGGGCCCTGAAGGCGTGGAGCACCTCAGTGCGCAAGGGCCTAAACCCATGGGTGCGCGCCTAGGGGCGTTTTTAAATTTCAAGTTATGAAAATGCTATGTTAGAGCAATTACAGCAGATGCTGCCAGCGTCGACATGTTTCTATGACGCGACAACTGATGATTCCTTTCGACCCAGGCTGCTCATGGTGAGCATTACGACTTTTTAGGGTAAGGATGGAAAGAATTTCTTGCTCAGGATAATAGGGCTGAAATGGCTATGGCATCCGCCATGCTCCAAAACGAGCAATAGCGCGTGGCGCTAGCTATCTCCAAGCTCGGGGGAGAGTGCGAGAATGGGCACTTACGTGTGGTCCTTCGGTTGAAGCGGCGTTCCGCTCTTAGAAAAAGTAAAAGCGTCGGCTTTTACGAGTGTTCTCGCCGCCTAAACAGGCAAATCGCGTGAGATTGCGTTACCTTGCTGTCTGACAAGGCAAGAAAGAGTTTGTGGACTTTGTCCAAGAGTTGAGAACTCGCGTTGCCGGGATGGAGCAGATCCTCTCCCCGAGGCGGTCGCAGTGACCGTCAATATGGGCCTCCACACTGGCATGACCAGAATGGAAGTCTTTCGTGTGTATTCTTTTAAGGAAGCAATGAATGTGGCACTGATAGCCGAAAGTCGGCACGACTTGGTTAAAATGCACACCCTCAGAGCTCGTCGAGCGGACCTGTTAAATAGATCTCAGCTATGCTGAGAAAGAAGAGGGAGATCTCCGAGCTGCCGACCAGCGTGTAAACATTTGAGGAATTGTGTCCGTGGAGACACCGGTCACCTTCGGACTGGTTGTTCCCTGCGCAAGGCGTGTGAAGGTGCGTCGAATTGACACCCCCCCCTAACCAGTCTGGCTTGTTGTGGGGAAACAAGAAATCCCAGTAGGCGCGAAGCATACTACTGGACCCTTTGAGCAAGATGGCTCATCTTGCGTCAGTGTCGGACACCATCGACGGTGTGGGTACAGCGATGATGTTTGTCGATCGTGTATTTCGGCAGCATGGATTCCTCGAAGTCAAATGTCTCTGATAGAGACCCGCGATTCACTGGGAAGTTTTGGCCTACACTTTTCAGGGTGCTGGGCACCAAGTTGACTATGCCAACAGTGGACCATCCGCAGACAGATGGTCAGACTGAGCGCGTGAATCGCGTCGTTGAAGATGTTCTTCGCAGCGTTTGCGCTGAAACGCCGAGGTGCTGGAGCGCCATGTTGCCACTCGTAAAGCTTGCACTGAATAATGCAGTGCATGCACCTACCGGCTACACGCCGTTCTACGTGAACGGGCTGATACACCCTCGCGTCCTGCTGACGCCCCCATCCCATGGCTCAGGGCCTGTTGGAGGAGGAATAGTCGAACGGCTAGCTGATGTTTGCCCCCTCACCATCCGTGAAGAAGTCGATGACTTCTTGTCTACCAGACTGAGTGTCCTACGACACGTTCGCGATGCGATGACTGAGAGCCAAGACCTGCAGAAAGAATATGTAGATGATACAGGAAGCGGCAAAGCGGAAAGCTTTAAGGTCAGGGACCTGGTTTTATTTAATTAAAAAAATCTGCCTACACATGCAGCATCTGCTCGTTTTATCGGACCGAATGTTGTGGCCAAACGGGGCCTGGCGTACACGCTGAATCTTCCGAAACGGATGCGCACCCACCCGGGGTTCTACGAGGGCTTGCTCAAGCCGTACCGGAATCCGGCGCAAGTGAACGCGGAAGCTTCAGCGTCAGACCGGATTCCACGGGCCCGCGGCCACCCAGAAGTTGAACCAGAAATTGGTTCTGAGCACGGAGTGCTACAATCTCCATTTAATGGAGCCAAGCGCTCCACCGTTGCCTGCAGCAATGTATTCGCCTGCTTAACGGCTAGGAGTCGCTCCGACAGAGATCGGTAGTATCAAGGCGAGGCAACCGGCGCACGACGCGCTTTGAATCGTCGAGAGCGTCCGCACAACATTATGCTACTTCAGCATGACGCTCAGCGGAGCTTCGATTTCGAAAGACCTTGTCCTCAAGCCTTCAAAAAGCATCACGAGTCACCGCCTGCCATTGACTCTTCTCGATGAGAGCGGTGACGTCCACTATCACGTGGAACGTCTTGTTGGACGACGTCGTCACCAGGGTCAGACCCCAGGGTCAAACCCAATATCTGGTGAAGTGGCGGGGATATCCCGACTCAGAAATCTCGTAGAAATTTGAGGCGCCACTTCGGCAAGATTGCCCAGTCGCTGTGGGCGCTTTTCATCGGAAAGATCAGGCCTCCCGCGTCATCAGACGCCCCGCGCTTCCCGGCAATAGCCAAAGAAGTAGTCGGGCCATGAGCTGAGCTCAAGCAGTGGCCCTGAGCTCTTGAGGTTTAAGACACAGGGCCCATACGTTGCAGGGTGATAATCCGAAGGAAGTTGACGGCGTGCCTTGAAGTTTGGCAAACTCAAAGTCGAGGTGTCGCCACACACGCACGTCCACTTCCTTGAGACTCAACCGCAGGTTATGCAGTGGGGAAAGTTTTCGGTGTCGTTGCACCCATCGCTCAAAGAGCGCTTCGTCATCTGTAGTGCTTTCGCCGGGGGCGAGACTTGGAGATTTTGGTGTCATTGACACGTGGCTCATTGAGCAAGGAAGTTGTTTGTTCCAACGAATGGCGTTGCAGTGTCTAACGAACATGCGAGTTTCGTTGAGGCAATAATTGATTGGAACTGAGAATATTCTCAATCTTAATGGAGAAGGGTGTCACGGGGTTACACGAACCCTAATAACAGGGGTGTGTGTGTCGCACGAGATGTGCATAATGTGACCACACACCCAACGAGAATACGGAACGGGGCTAGCTAGCCAGAAGTTATGGATGTATTTAGATTTTACTACGTATATTTTGTATTTGAGGAAAATCTAAACTTTTAGCATTACAATAAAAATATAAATGAAAATCAGTTCCAATTTCGAACAGAGGTGTTCGTTTGCCTTGGTTAAGGATTTTAAGTACTTTAAAGGCAGCGGATTGCTATCCGCTGCACTAGTACTTGGTTATTGTAAAGAACAAAAGGTCGGTCACATAACGACGCTCTTAAGCGCAAAGCTACGGCAGCCCCGCTGCATTACATCTTGTTCTGGTCGGCTCAATGTTTTCGTAGCCCCACTCATATGTCGCCCAGAAATTAAAATTTTGCTCGTCAGTAAGAGGGTTCTGTTCACAATAATCCCTCAAATATAACACATACGTTTTGTGTGACGGAAAAAAGTGATTTCGACGTGAAGGAGAGGAATGGCCCAGACTTGCAAGTAAGCAGAACGACTTAAGGGGTTGGAGGCAAACTTGCTATTATATTAAAATGGGCGAACGGCTCCTAGAGGTACATGAAAACACTCTAAGAGCCTCTAGAGGTACTACTAACAAAATCTTGGAATTCTATTAAACCGAGTTGTACAGTCATAGGTATACTGAGGCTGAAGTTTGGTCTGATCTTATAAAAGATCTTGGGTGTTTGAAGCTTGAGCTGGAAAAGATTGAAGCTGAACTTCCGTTTAAATTTCCAAGCAGAAGTTGGTGGCGTAAACCACTTGTTTTGGAAGACAGAGACAAGTTGTTCTCGTCCAGTACAAATTCTCACCTAGGAACCAGCATTCTGCATCAGACAGTATAACGTCATGGAAGATGTCGCCAACGAAGGGTTTAAATAATGCTTGTGGGAACACCATACTGCGATTCTGTTGTTGTAAATTTCCACAATGCACGCCGAGGTACATAAAAATAACTCTAAATAACAGCTAAGTGTAGCCCATTACAATGTCAAGGTGACGACGCCGCGCGTCCCTGAGGTGATACGTCTCGAATTCGGGTCAAACGCAACATGCATGAGGCACATAGTATCTCCTCTTATGCCACCCCAACAAGCGATAGACGTGGGGTACAGTGGACGCAATGAACTGATAATAACATGTATAAACGCAGAAGCACTTATCTGTGCATGCGCTTCAAAGTCAAGCATCAAATTGCGTTCTCATAGAAACTACAAAACGTACATTTAGCTCTCCATCTGAACTGAAGGCCCATGTCCAAGGCTCCGACGTGACGCAGTGATAAATTTCGATACATCACGTCCAAAAGAGTGCAATCTGGTCTGTACAATTGCATTTTAATTAGATACGACTGTTGCTCTTGCAGCTTGACAAAGTCTGCTCGCTGGTAGGAACCCAAACCTCGTCGTGAGCTCTACGCCAGGGTGTTGGGGCAGAGAAAAAGAAGATGAAGTGCGTATCTCGTGGAGAGGTGAGGCATAGTGTAGAAGACCATTCATCTGCAGATAGGCATCCGTTTATGGAAACCATACGACTTTTGAGTTGTTGTGTCGGGACTAGACGAGTAAATGGTATCGCTCTTATCGGAGAAAAACTATCAATCATGGCTGCAGAACGTCGAACGCGAAGGCTGTGGCATTCGTTTGTTGGCTGTCGTAAAGCAAGGAGGGGATAACACTTTCGATGTGATGAGCGTTTGTAAGAGCTGCCACATTACGAGAAAAACTACTTCCACTGCCGTCGCGCTGAAATCAAGTACGTTATGGAACTACATGTTGATTGAATAACGTTAGCTGCGCTAGTATTGGTTGCTCTAAAAATGTTTTTCAACTGAGAGAATTTCTAGTTGTATTTTTCGTTAATCTCTCGGACTGATTTAATGGGGGTATCATGAAGAGAAAGCTGTTGCAATCGATCTCGACGAATGATTTACATTTAGTTACATCAACTTCAAATTACAAATCCGTAACACACTATTTACGCAAAGCCACATTACACTTGGTTGCTGTTCTACTTACCAATGAGTCAGCTTCATTTTGCGTCACACTCTCCGAAGGAATCTCAGTTCCATTAGTCGATATTGAGGTATCAGTGGTAGATGGGACTGTTGGTGGTGGAGATGTAGGGGTGTCATCGACGGGAGTGGATATCTGTGTTGAAGCTGGAGTTCCAGCAGTAATACTCGCACTTGTATCATTCGTAGTTGTAGACACAGATGGTTTAGTCGTCGATATTTCAGGTGTAGTCGTCACATTAGTCTGCACCGTGTCACCATTGTTCGTGATTGTTATCTTCTTTTCACCGTTTGAGGTAAACAGACCAAAGTGCTTCTCGTACTCTGCGCCAGTGTAGCTGATAGTTGTATCGTACATCATGAACCAATACGACTGGCCCAGACCCGTTGACCATATGATATAGTCGTTAAAAAACTGTTGCATCGTCTCAATTGACGGTGTATTGCTTTGATAGTTCTCTCCGCTAGACGGCCAACCTGTTTCGGTCAAACGGAGTTTGTTCACGTCATACTTGTCCGTCATTTGCTTCCATTGAGCCTTTAGCTTTTCGATCGACGTTTGGTCAGAAATTGTGAAAAACGGGTAAATATTAACACCAATAATGTCCGAAGCTCCTTCAAGCATCGCAACTCCTTCGGCACTAAGCCACTCATTGATGCGTTGTACTGAACCGACTGGAACGCTGCCGACACAAGATTTTATCTTGTTGATGTAGGCCACTAGTTGGTCAGCCGAAAATGTCCCAAAACCGCCATTCTTAAGGTTTTCGTTGCCAACGTAAACTGCCTCAACCGCGTCTGGATTGCTTGTGTAGCCTTTGCAAACAGCGGCAATTTCCGAATCGATTGCTGAGGGATCCGATAACTGCACACCAACAGCAACCTTTAACCCTGCAGCACCTGCAGCTTCAATAACATTCACACCACTAAATTGGGCCTGAAATGTACGAAAACTTGAGAAATACTGCTTGATTTCAGTCAGGTCTGCTTTGACAACTGAAAAGTCAACGGTTTTGTGGTGCCATGGAGCGTAGCACACACCTTTACCAGCAATCATTTCAATTGCAGCTGCAGCCAAGAAGAAAATGACAAAAGAACATTTCAAAAAGACCATTGTTACGGATGAAGGCAAAATAAAAGTAAGGACAAATGGTGCCATTGAGCTACGTTCACGCTTTGGGATCAATGGGTACAGCAGGGAGTCAGACTTGATTGGAGAGCAGCATATATCTCGAAGAATATTGACGCACGCAATTCAGAAACAGACACACGCCACACAAATTCTCAGTTAACTTCATGGATCAAGCTTCTTTTCATGCCAGTGGTCCGACAGATGGTTTGAACGAATCATCTTCATCTTGTGGCTCAAAATTTATTTTAAATTATCAGGCTGATCTTTTTTCCTAGTGTAATAAACATACTGCCATTATAAGAAAATTTATGCAGTTTGCATCGATATGGCCGATTTTGCTGTCTACAATATAATCAGCTCTATGACTTAGTGAATGTAAATGTCCCTGACAGCCTGATATACTTACATTATTCGCCAACCAAAAGCTCGGATAGATCTTTATACTATTTTAATTATTGTGAGGAGTTAACTTTGCCAAGTCTTGACTTCTTATACTGAAAGCGAAGAACGAATTCATCAATGAGAAAATTTGTCACTTTGACTGTGTACACGTAATATGCATACAAGCATTGTATTCTTTTCGTTCATCTACGTAGTCGAGCTGTCTACATCACCAATGCGCGAATCTCACATAGGGCAATCCTTCTTAGATTTGTCATCCGTTTTGGGCTGTCCATTAGGCGTCGCGATCGAGCCATCTGGATTGAAATACACCGGATCACCTAGCATAAAGGTCGGCGGTGT